AAGATTCACCACAAGATTCTGGTGTTTTTATGTCTTTATCATGTTATGGGGCTATAATATTTGGTGGCTGGTTGGATTTTTTATTGGATACCTTTTGTTGTCTTGCGCTGCGAGCTGAGTACATCTTGTATCTGAATTAATAGTGTAATTGTTAGTAATTTGTTTTCTGGTCCAGGTTGAGTGATTTCAGGTTGCAGTCAATTGAACTGCATTTGATTAGCAATGGTGAAGGACACGGAGTACTATGACTTATTGGGGGTTGGAGTGAATGCAACTCCTGCTGAAATTAAGAAAGCTTACTACTTAAAGGTAATTTAGCTTTAGCTTATTACTCAAGGTGTTCTATTTCAATTTTGAGTATGCACTCGTACCATTTCTTGAAGATACATTTATATTTACTTGATGATTAGATGTGCATTTCGTTTGGTCATGTTAGTATATTTACTTTAAGTCCTGTGTTTGCTAGCTGTCTTCTAGGCATGTTAGAGATTTATATGCTAGTAGAATATGTAGAGAATTTCTAATGCTAGAGAAACTAAATATTATAATATTGGACTGAGACGGTCTTAAATGGAGTGACATGAACGGTGAGAATTCGGCCACGGATTGGCATGGTTGTTTTATGTGCATTTGTTTGGTCTGTTTATCACAATATTCTGCCATCTGAACAAGTTTGGACTTTTGTTGTCATAGAGCATGGAAATGCGATTCTAGAAGTGAGCTAGAGCTATCTTTTAGTGTACGTTTGCAAGGAACCTTAACTTACCTTGATAATTTCCTTTTAAACTGTAAGTTATCCTTGACATCTTCACTTGCACTAATATCTCGTTCTTTATTAGGCAAGGACTACACATCCAGACAAGAATCCCGGGGACCCACAAGCTGCTCGTAATTTCCAGGTACAACCTTTAAGATCTGTTAGATCTTTTATTTTGTTTTTTTCAACTGAGGCACCTAGATTAACAAACTCTTTTGGACATTTTGAGTTGCCATGCTTTAAATTTCGTGGAAGCAGCAATCTTGTAGAAATCTCATTCTATTAAGCTCCTACTGTACAAGCTGATGTTGTCATCAGTCTATGTTTGATAGTTGAACAAAGCACTGTGCTTGAACATGTTTCATACATCCCATGATTCAAAGTACTTTTCATATAATGGGATAGAGGGAATGTTTGTATGAGTAGGAGTGGTGTCATAAAAACTTCTTTATAATTTCCTCTGCCTCTCTCTCATTGTTCTGCTTATTGTTCACTTTTGAAGGTTCTAGGAGAGGCTTATCAGGTGTTGAGTGATCCCGAGAAACGTGAAATTTATGACAAATATGGTAAAGAAGACATGCCGAAGTAAGTATGCAATAGGAAAACCTGAACTCATTTGTTTTAGCCCCTTTTATTTAAAGCTACATCCGTTTGTTGTGGCCCTCTTTGAATTGTCAAACTATTTTTGTTGTACTTCTTACTTAATCGTTTTCTGCAAAAATTAGTAAGAGTCTACTACTTGTGCCAGCAGTTAGTAAATTGACAATCGACAGTGATCTTGTGGAATCAATGTTAAGAAGATGATAGGGAAAATACTGACTTGTTTACTTCCGTATTTTAAGAATTCAGGCGGAGAAAACTATTTTGTGTATTCACGTTGTCTCTTATTTGTCAGGGATTTGATGCACCCTGCAGCTGTATTTGGAATGCTGTTCGGAAGTGATGTATTTGTTGATTATGTTGGGGAACTTAGATTGGCTTCCATACAAGCTGTTGAAGAGGAAGAGGACGAAGTTGTTCCTGAGCTTCGTAGACAGAATATTCAGGAGAAATTAAAGGTATTCTTGTTTCAAGCAGTGTTCATAAAAGGTCAATTGTTCATTGCAGTTCATTGAAGTAATCCTCTTTCAACTACAGAAATTGCAAAAGGAAAGGGTAGAGAAGCTGACAACAATTCTAAAAGAACGTCTTCAGCCATATGTTGAAGGCCGAAAGGATGAGTTTTTAGAATGGGCAAAATCAGAAGCGCAGCTTCTTGCTCAAGCTGGTTAGGTCGTTTCACCTGCTTGTCCATTATTTGTTTCTTTAAAAGGTTAATTAATCAATTGCACCTATATACTGAACTAGTTGGCATCGGCTATATAAATCCACTATAAGTATTCTGCTCTTTTCGGGCCTATTTAATTCCGATACTTAATAATTTTTCATTTGAGACAGTTAGGGTTTTTTAAAGGTAGAGGTTCTCTAAATATCATGCTAATCCCAGCATCAACATACAAACATCTAATCAAACCGTAAACAATGGAACTAATGTAAATGTAACAACAACTAAGCCTTAATCCACACTAACAGTAACTGGTATGGTCTTTGTGATTTTTTGCTTTTGTTCTGTTTTTAGTTAATTTCAGAGTGGTGGATCTTTTGAGGCAACTTTGTTCCATGTGATTTTAGTCTACCTCATTTCTCTCTTTTCTTTTTTTTTTGAGAAATAGAGAAATCACCGAGAGCCAGTGACGCACAACTCAAAACTCGGTGGATAATTGGCACGCCCCTCTACCCCCACAGTGTGCCTAACCCAGACATCACGTGCTGATCTCTTACCGGGGCGTCATCCCTCGTTTAAAACCTTCAATTATCATTGTGTAGTCCATTTCTTTCATCATCCGATACCATTAAGAATGGCTTTCCAATTTGTTTGGAAGTGGAATGATAAAAAAATGTTTATACTCAAGTCCCCAACTCTCCCCTTCAATATAGAGATCCTAACAAAATTTTAAGATTTCTTCCGTGATGCTTTCAAAATTCTCTTAGCCTTGCCGTTGACCATAGAGGTCTGTTAGTTGAGTAATATCTCCTATTAGCATTTTCATTCTCTTGAACCACACCTTCAGTTCACATCTTGTTACAGCGATTTGAACGGCAATTACTATAACTTTCTCCTTTGATTCCTATCGAGTTGTCCAAAAGCTTCTCTTCTGACTGTGCCCAAAGGCTTTCCCGGAAGGCTGTAAGCGCTACCTTCTTGTCCTGTGGCAATGTTTTGTTACATTGCTTCCACTGCTTTTCAAATGCTTTGATCGGCTGGATTGGAAAGATTTAGAAGAGATCACCAATCAAAAAAGAAAATAGAGAGATCAGGAGATTTATGTGCTTTGACTTCTTCTTTATTGTCTTTGGGATGTGGCTATTAATTTTGCAGCCCTAGATCAGATGCGAGAGATGATAATGGTTTGGGGATATAGGACCAGTTATTAACATTTGTCTTATTGATTTGATAACAATGTTGTCACATTACATGTGTCCATCGGATATTGAGGACTTTCAGTTTCTGAAATGATATTTTCTTTATGTGGTCATCTTTTCAGCTTTTGGTGAGGCTATGCTGCATACTATTGGTTATATCTACACAAGGCAAGCTGCAAAAGAAATTGGGAATTTGAAAAGATTCATGAAGGTGCCATTTTTGGCAGAATGGGTAAGGGACAAAGGACACCTAATAAAATCACAAGCAATGGCGGCTTCAGGTGATAAACATTGAACAGGCTTGCTCTTTCCAACTTCTGTTCATAGTAACATTTAGCAGTAACATGCTTTTGGTTTATGTTTAGGGGCTGTGGCTTTACTTCAAATACAAGAGGAACAGAAGAGGTACCATGAGGAGAACAAAGTAGAGGATGCAATCAAAACAATGGAAGAAAAGAAGGATATCATGATCAAATCCCTTTGGCAAATCAATGTCGTGGATATTGAGTTGACTTTATCACGTGTTTGCCAAGCGGTAAGCACAACCAACTCTTCCGTATCCAACTCTGTTGGATCCTATTGTTGCTCGAATTACAACAACTACTCCTCAACCCCGAGAAAGTTGGGGGCCGGCTCTATATATCGTCATTAACCATGTTATATTAAAAAAAAAAAAAAAAAACTCATTGACTATGTCACTCTCTATTGAGTGCTCGAATTTCTGAAGGATATATTTATCTGTGACTTGCTACAGTCTACAGATGCTGCTGTTCACATTAAATTAATGCTGTAATCAAGTAGATCAACTCTAAATTGGAAGGGGTGAATCTAACCAAAAGATTAGACGATAAATTAATTTACTTAAGTAATATTTGTTATTGCAGTGTGTTAGCATGGTTTGTATCTCCACTTGTTGCTTAAGTGTCGTCTCGTTTGGTTTGTCCTGAGTATTTCACTTTTCTATATTCCTACATCATCTTTGGGACTCTTTTCTTTTGGGCGGGT